GAAGTAAATACTATTTTATTTCCATTTTACAGCCAGGAAATGGAGATTCATCTGGGAAAGTTGCCCCGGTCACCTAGTGGTAAGTAGTGGTGGTGTGAGGACTCAGGTCCGTGCTGGCCTAAGGAAGCAGGCAGGCATTCATCTTTGTGGCATTACTTAATGATCTTTAGGCAGCACAGACCAGAGAAACTTTCCAGGAAATGGGGTGGTAGACATACAATCCCGTGCAAAAAATATATCCCAACAAACCGGCCACACCTCGGAAACCAGTGGAGACCTTACCGAAAGCCATGAAGGATCTTGGGCATTAGAATCCGCTGGCTCTGGCTTCAAATCCCTGCTCCACCTCCTACCGGCTCTGCAGCCTTGAGTACACTAACCTTTCTACAGGCTGCTACTTCCACAGTGGAGATAACACAATTTCTGTCTTGCAGGCCTGTCTGAAGATGAAGACAGCATTTCACTGGCTCTCCACTCGCTCCTATCTCAGGGGCCCTACACCATTATTTAACCCTCGCCATTTTACTTCCCTGCCTCCAGCTCTATGTTTGAGGAAGCTTGGAGAACCAACTTGAGTGTTTGGCCTCTCTCTGTGGCCCCTGTTTCAAAGGCTTACCTTCACTTCCAACTACTGCTGCCAGTCTTTTTCTGAAAGGTCTCCACAACTCTTTGGACATGGGGTGCTATCTAAAGGTATCCCCCCTCCATGGCACCCCCATGAGTTAAGCAGTCCATGACCCAAAACCACTTACTCTTTGATCCTCTTCCCTACCCCTAAATAAAACAGCTCGTTCCTTCACAGTGTATCCAGGTGTAGATGAGACTACCTAATGAAAATAGTTCCCAGATAAGGAGAAGTATCCTTAACCCACGTAGCTGGGGTGCATGTCAAGAGGTGGCTTCCCGGGATTGTCATGGGCAGAGCAGCCGAGAGACAGCCGACACCCCTGCCAGGCCCTCGAGCATCATACCACATGGCTCCAGTTCCAACAGGAGGAGCCAGTTCCCAGGCCTTGAGAGGACACGCACCCCTCGAGGAATGTGCATTTGGCTTTGTTCCATCTTCCTCTCTGCAGTTCTTTTCCCACCTCTGGGCCACGCCTCCCTTCAGTCCCTCCCAATTTGTAGAAAAGCTTTTTAAAAGTTTATTTCTTATCATGTATTTTGCATTGCTAATCATCTTAATTCAAAGAGGTGAATTAAAGTGCAGGGATGGATGCTTATTCCTCAGTTTTCCATAAATATGATACCTCCAGTTCCACAGCTTCAATTGAACAGTAATTTGCCTTTATTCAGATCATCACGGAGCACTTTTTGGGGGTGGGCAAGTATGCTGGGCAAACTTAGAGTTGAGGATGCTTAAGGTCGGTATTTCAGCTCCTGTTCAATGTTGCCTGAGGCTGGCCCTGACATCTAGGCATCTCCCTTTCCACAGTTGAAATGTATCACTACACATCCTCAGCCCAGGCCTACCAGGCCGAGAAGTGGCACATACCTGAAGGGCCCTTCTGTCGTTTCGCCCGACTTGACTTTTAGTAGTTGGCTGTCTTTTCTGCCTCTTGGGCCTTGAGTTTATTACCTTTCATTCCCCTCCCATTTAACAATTTTACTATGCGATTTTATTTAAATTTTTAAAACAGTACAAAGGGGTATAATGAAAGAAAAGATGCACAAACGCTCGGTTGGCGTGGCTCAGTGGTTGAGCATTAACCAAACTATGAACCAGGAAGTCTTAGATTCCAGTCAGGGCACATGCCGGGTTGTGGGTTACAGTCTACTAGATGATTCTCTCTCATCATTGATGCTTCTATCTCTCTCTCCCTCTCCCTTCCTCTTTAAAATCAATAAAAATATATATATTTTTAAAAGATGCACATACAAGGGCCTCAATCCAGTTAATGCTGCTTCTTCTTTTTCAAAAAAAATCTAAGAATGTGCACAAGTTGGTTTGAAAGTTTTAAGCAACTATCAAACTAAGACACAAAACTGTAAGGCTGAATTTTGAATTGTAAGCAAGTAATCGAATTGGTGTTTGGCAGTAAGGAAAAACCACTCAGCAAATAAGGGATTATCCTATGTACATATAATTCTATTAGCTATTTCTCTAAATTCTACTTCCAATTACAAGTCATTATTAGAAATTAATAAATTGAACTGATCATGGTTTCTGTATGAAGAGGCTGAACTGGACACCACTCATATTCCAGCATCCTTTATCACAACCATCAGGATAAAGTAACTAGCACTGAAAATGGAAAAATAAACCCAAAGCACCATTAAAATTTTTGACTCAGAGTAGCAAAGAGGGCCTGATATTATAGTAAAACTTGAGAATATTTATTTTATTATTATTTTTTAATCCTCACCCAAGGACATTTTTCCATTGATTTTTGAGAGAGTGGAAGAGAGAGGGAAAGACAGAGAGAAACAGCAATGTGAGAGAAACACAATGATTGGACCGGAATTGAGCCCAGGACGCTCTAGCCACAGAACAAAATGAAAATTAGCTAATGATTTCATTAAATCAACCCAAAATGTCTTACTAATGGTATACCTTTCAAGAAATCAACCCACAACTGTGTAAAGTTTTTTCTTTTTAAAGAAAAAAGGTGACCTACTTAAAATTTATGGACTTTATTTTAAACCTAGTGATAAATCTGCTAAACGCAGTATCTGAAAAATGTAACCTGTCTACCTTACTGGGTACCTAAGGAAGCAAACGGAAGAAGTAGTTTTTATTTTAGAGAGCTGCTTGGCACGGTCAGCACTGCTCCATGGGGCTAATAACAATAACACAAACCCAAACAGTTCTTTCAGAAAGCCTGTGTGTTCCGTTTCCATCAGATAAACCCCTTGTGTAATGAGCTATTGACCTATTGTGCAGCTCCACAGAGAATGTTGATCCTATTGCTGACATCTTATTAGAAACACTAAAGGGACACAGAAATCAAAACTCTTAAATTTTAAAAAGGAGAAAGCTTTCTAATTCTGAATATGGTTTTTAAAAGGGCAGCTAAATTAAACATTATAAATCACTTTTTAAAATGACTAAAATAATCATGGATGTGCCCAGAGATATAGGTAGAAGGATATTTAATACAGAGTTGCTAAATATAGTGAAAACTGCCTTGGCCAGGTAGCTCACTTGGTTAGATGCAGGTGGATCCCAGTCAAGGCACACAAGAATGAACCAATGAATGCCTAAATAAGTGGGACAACAAATCAATGTTTCTCTCCCTCTCTGTCTCTGTCCCCCACCTTTCTCTCTCCTTCCTTCCCTCACTCCCTCCCTTTCTCTCTCTAAAAATTAATTAAATTTTTAAAAATGAATTAGTGAAAACTGGAAACAAAAGAACTGTTGAGATTTAGATATATAATAGAAAACTATAAATGATGTTGTAGGAGTATTTTGGTAATATAAAGATGTCCATATTTGGGTGGGGGGAAAAAGTAAGTTACAAAGTAGTATGTAGAGAATGAACCCAGTTTTCTAGAGAATAACTTTCTAGCTGTGTAACTTCAGTAAAGTTACTTAATTTCTCTAAATCAGTTTTCTCTTCAATAAAAAGGAGATGATCATAGTATCTACCTCATAGGGCTAGACTAGAGTGAGGATTACAGGAGATTCCGGTGTATAGAGCAACTGGCACATTGGCTGGCTAATAGTAAGCTCAATACATGCTAGCTCTTTGTGTTATATGTTCATTGGGTAAAAAAGAATTTGAGGTTATAGTGGTAAGTGGTTTTCTGGGTGGTGGCTAATTTGTTTAACTTGTACTTTTAAACTTCTATAAGTATCATACTACTTATAATATGGGGAAATACTAATGAATTGGAATATTCACATACAGTGATTATTCTTTCAAAAATCTACCATAGTGCTTTGCTCACAATAAATAAATCTTGGTTGAACTGAATTTACCCTTCAGAATTCATTTAAACAAGTTTGCCCTAGAACATTTAAAATTATTTAACTGAAGGCTAAACTTGCTTATAATAAACTAGGTAAAGCAAGGCATAGTTACATTGTTCAGCCCCGTAATTTAAGAGCCCCACTTCAAGACCCATTAGAATGCCACTAGAACTTTCATTATCAAGTGGGGGAAAGCCTAAGATCAGGTAATCACTTCTAGTTTCCTCCCAGCTCCACCCCTCTCCTCCTTCTTGACACTTTCTTTTCCTTTCCATAATCAAAGCCTAAGGGTTCTCTCCAGTAGACTGTAACCCCCAAGGACAGTAAGTGCGCTTAGCATCCATAGTACCTAGCACAGTGACTGGAATGGTAGTTGCTCACTAACTGTTCACCAATTGGATGAATTGACTAAATGTCTGATAGCGGCAGTTCGGAATAGAGACTTCAATTCCCGAATATGAGAATTGGATAAAGATAGGTAGACTTGACCAGCCAGTGTGGCTCAGTGATTGAGTGTCAACCTATGAACCAGGAGGTCACAGTTTGATTCCTGGTCAGGGCACATGCCCTCCTTGTGGGTTCGATCCCCAATGTGGGGAGTACAGGAGGCAACTTATCAATGATTCTCTCTCATCATTGATGTTTCTATCTCTTTCTCCCTCTCCAAAATAAATAAAAATATATTTTTTAAAAAGGATAGGTAGACTATCTTTAGTTTGAAACTGTCTAGAATTCTTAGTAATTGTTCTTTAAACACACACACACACACACACACACACACACACACACACAGAAAACATCTCACTTCAAAGTATCACTTCTTTAAAAAGAAAAAGTTCTTACTTGTATTCCATTGTCTATGTTAATGGATATAAGATTATTTCCATTTTTCCCTATACCATTTTTTCAAAGTCCCACAAGAATCCCAGAGAGTTTGAGTAACTCATTCAAAGTAATTCAGCAAGTAAGTTACCACCTAGTTAATGTCAGGTTTCTGATGCCACTGCTCAACATCTCTCTACAGGGGCACCTGTGACCTTTAACCCTAAAAGTTGTAGCTATCAGAAGAACAAATGTTTTTAATAACCTGAGCAAGTGCTTAAGCTTCTTCCAAATATTTCCTAGGGCTTTTATGAGATTCTGCAAGAAGAGAAATGAAGACCAAGAGACAGTAATGCAAAGGTGCCCAAGTGTTTCCTTCCAGGTTCCTATGTCAACCAACTTCACTTAAAAACGAAACGAAAGAAATCAAATTAAATATTAACTCATGAAAAAAACACTTCAACCAGAAGACTATTGGGAAGCAAGGCTATCATCAAACCAAGGGAAGGGCTGTAAAAAGGAAAGTGTGCACAGCTTATACTTTTTTAAAGGTGAAGGATAAAGTTTGAGCATTTTCCACACATGCAGCCTTCCTCCAAATGCCAGGTGTTCACTTCCAGCCACTGCTCTGACCTTGTTTAAACACTAAATGGCAGTTCCCTTAACACGAGGTGGGACCCAAACACCTTTCAGGAGTTTACATTGAAGTGTTTCCGTCCTGGTATACACACTCAGAATGTAGACATCACTTCTTGCTCCTAGGAACCTGCCAAAGGATTGCACATACAAAACTTCAGACAGTAGTTCTCAACCTTCTGGCCCTTTAAATACAGTTCCTCATGTTGTGACCCAACCATAAAATTATTTTCGTTGCTACTTCATAACTGTAATGTTGCTACTGTTATGAATCGTAATGTAAATATCTGATATGCAGGATGGTCTTAGGCGACCCCTGTGAAAGGGTCGTTCGACCGCCAAAGGGGTCGCGATCCACAGGTTGAGAGCCGCTGGCACAGCTTTATAAGTAGAAAGTTTTGTGGAAATTAACTGCTTATTACCTGAGCCCCTGGAACATCCTCTTATTTATACATAAACAGTAATTTGCTGAGGTCTCCTTTGTGCCAGACATTATAGCTCCTTTGCACTATTGTCCTCCAGTCCTCTGAAGTCCTTATATATAGTCCCATTTTACTAGATCAGAGTGTTCAAGTAACTGAGAACCCACGATTAACAGATGGGAGGAGGGGTGAACCAAGGATTTGAAAAGTTAAGTTTAAATTCAAAATGCACACCTAACCTATGAGATTCTGCCTAAGAGACACTAAACAGATCTCTTGGCCAATTTAAAATGCCTGTCAAAATGGTTTTAAGGTCATATCAGAGCAGGCGAGATAAAATAGAAGAATGACGAAGATTGACCAATAAAAGATTACAGGACTTGACACCAGTTATTTCAAGACGTAGCCGCGGGTTAGTAACAATTATCCATCTCTCAGAAAGACAGGCAGTTCCCTCCCACCTATTTGCGCTGAGAAACCAAGTCTTTCCTTAAGGGGACGGCCAAACGTTGCAAGGTTTCATTCAGCGTGGGCTGTCCAGAGCCGGGTCATTACTGTCCACGTATCATCAGCAAGTGCCTCTCAAAAGGAAAAAAGAGTCAGTCCCTCCTCCTTCACCACCTGAATTCAGCCTTGACCTCTCCGGAGTGTCTCTGGACCACCTATGGTCTAAGCGTCCTTCCAACGCCAGGACCCAGTTACCCGAAATGGTTGCAAATGAATGAGCTGATGCTCAAAGCAAAGAAACCAGCCCCACATCCATCCTCAATCTGGCAAAATCAAGAAACGATGCCCTGGGGTGGCGCGCGTGGGGGCCCGACTGGAACCACGTCTCTGTGGTTCGTCCGCCTCCCCACTCCTCGCGCTTCGCAGGGCGCGCGGCTCCCCACCCCATCCTCCTCCCGGGCCCCTCGGGGCG